AGCCCCCCCAGAAAAAGCCACAGAAGCTATCACCTGAAATGCTATAGTGATAGATCCATATAAGGCTTTTGGAGCTCACAACTCATTACAGACTGCTTCAGATGTTCGACGTAAAACTACAGGACTTATTATTTGCCCTTCTAGATTTTAGACTTGTTTTGGTCCCAATGGTTCATATCCTGCTGTGTGTACCTTTTGGAATGGTGTTATGGTTTGTGTCTAGTTGCCCACCAAAAGCCTTATGCAGTCATGGGGTGGGCTTCTAGACTTTCTGATTAACTCATGATCCAATGGGACTATGGGTGTGAGTACTAAAGCCAGCCTAGGGCAGATAGCTTGGATGCAACTTAATGGAGACAAACTGCTCTCTGCAGCCATTGTTGCTGCTACTCCTCCCATTTGCTCTTGCCCTTTGCCACTGCCATGAACTGCTGCCCTCTGTCAGGTGCCAGTCTGTCTTGGAGCCAACTGAATATGGACTGAAACATCCAGTAACTGTGAGCTAAATAAAGATTCCTTCCCTTCATTTTGAGTGACAGGTTTTTGTCCCAGCAACAAGAGAAGAGGAACTGAAACAAACGGTAATGTTTATTTTGTGCCTTTAAATAATAAAGTGTTTAACTTTTCATCTGTACAGGGGCTCACAGCTAAGAGTTTGTCTTAGATCTTAGAGGAGACTTGGAACTTAGACTTTTCAGCAATGCTAAAACTATTAGGACTTTGGCAACTCTTAGAGATAGACTAAAATGTCTTTTACATAAAGAGATATGCATGAGTCTTTGCTGGTGGGAGGGTTGTCCAGGGCAAAATGTCATAGTTAGAATGTAGTACAATGTTCAAGTTGTAAAACGTTAATAGGCATGTCTCTATTACCTAAAAACTGGTTTAAGAAAATGTTTGGTTGCCAAGTTCACAGAGGGTTGAATACACTGGTTGATACACTGTGTCAACTTGAGAAGTTTAGAAGTTTAAGTGACTCAGCAGAGACCAGAATTCTTAGTTTGTAAATACCCTCATCTTGTATAAGTGGAGGGCACAGACATCCTGTGAGTTCTACACCCTCAGCCCCAGGGTAGCTTATTTATTATACAAGGAGGAGAGACAGGCTGGCTAGAATCCACAGCTGCTGCCCTTACCTTTGCTCTTCGCTGTTTTCTGCTGCCATAAACTGCTGCTCTTTGCTATGTGCCACTCTACCTGGGACCCAGCCAAGTATAGACTAAATCCTCCACAAACTGTAAGCTAAATAAGCCTTTCTTTCCTTAATTTTGGGCATCATATATTTTGTCCCAACAAGGAGAAAAAAGTAACCAAGACAGTTATCAAGTTCACCAGGGGTAGACTGTGGTGAATTACTAACTGGTGGTCAACTTGCTACACTAAACTTAACTGACTAGATTGGTGCTGCATGTGGGAGGCCTACCTGAGGATTGTTGCCAGCAACCTAAGAGGAAAAACTGGAGTTGTTAGAAGGCTATTAGAGAAGCTGTTTGGAGAAACTGTTAGAAGCTGCTGGTTCTCTTGAGCTATTCTGGGTGAATTTATGCTGGCTTTCCTGTTGAATATGGTTGTTCTCATTGGAGGAGGAGCTTGGGGCCTCATTGTAACCATAGCTGACAATGTCTATGGTTAACTTTGAGGGAGCTCTAGTCCTCATCTTGAGCATTGCTTCCTGGCTCCAGAGGGGAAGATGGTGCACTGCTCAGTCTTGTTGCATTGGCTTTCCTGATGGAAACTTGAGGCTTTTATATGTACATGGATGCAACTAGAGAACATACTCCTAAGACCTATATGAGCAAACATCATATTGTCTCACTAGTGTCAGAAACTGAAAGAGTAAGTACAGCAGATACTGTGAAAGGTAAAGAATCTGTTCAAAGTGGAGTCAAAACTGAGATGAGGAAAAGAAAAGATATATTTATGCATATATAAAAGATAGCTTGGATAATTGTACTGCTAATTTCTGTAGGTCTACTGAGAAGAGCAGTTAATACTTACATTTTTTCTTCTCCTTAACTTTTTATAATTTTTCTAACCAATTCTGAATGCTTATATCTGATAATCTAAATAAATAATTTGAAGACAACATTATGCAAAACAACAACCAAAAAAAGAATAGAACAATTGTTAGATTCTTATTACTTTGTGTAGTGAAATTCTGTATCATTTCTATTTTTTTTACTATTTCATATTGGCTATAAAAAATATAAAATTTACAGAGCCTGCCAGATAGCTCAGCAAATTAAAGTGCCTGCTTAAGCAGATGTGGGGACTAGGTTTCTATTCCTGGTGTGTCATGCTGACCCCACCCCTGGGGTATGCTGAGATGGTGATTGAGACTGAATGTGATGGCACATGCCTGTAATCCCAGTGTTTGGGAGGCTAAAAACAGGAGGATCACTATAAGTCTCATCTGTATAGTGAGACCCTGGAGTCCCTGTACTAAACACACTTTAAAAATGTTAAAAAAAAAAAAAAAGAAAAGAAAAAAGAAAAAGAAAAGAATCAAAATTTAAAACTATAAAATTTTAAAAATGAAAGATAGCACCAATTAAGAACTCAATAATAGCAGGCAGTGGTCTTTAAATGTAAATGTTAGGTATTGCTAATCCTAAAATTTTAGTAACCAATTAATTTATGTTCCTTATATAGTACAGTAAAGACTATTATAGAGTGTATGATTTCAAACACAGTAGTAATGAAAAGTACATACATCAATTAAATATAAAATTATTCAGAAAACTTAAAATCCTGCTTTTTCCTTTCCCAGTTGGCTTTCCACTAGCTTTGGCTAATAAGGAGCTTCAGAGGAAAAAGGAATCAGAGGGAGAGAAGAAGGAACTTCCTTCCCTCGAGTTTGTTCCTGCCAGATCACCTCAGTGGTGTGTTCTCAGTGGTGATCCAGCCTCCTTATTCTTTGAGCTCCCCAAGGACCATCTCATCATCATCAGCCTCCCAAAGGCCCCTCAGCACCTGACACCCAGCTTTCCAGGGCTTTACTCCATGAGTCTAGGTCTGGAACTTTCGCCTCTGTCTTATGCCCTCAGTCCTGCCAGTAGGACTGCTTCCTGGATTATTTCTGGATGACCTCAGTGAATGACCGTCTTCCTCACTGAGCCCTCCAACATTGGTGCAATCAATCCCATATTAAAGTCTCTGTGAGGGGGCTGGGGAGATGGCTCAGTGGAATAAGCACTTGCCTGGCAAGTGCAAGGGCCTGAGTTCAATCCCCAGTTCAGAAAGAAAGAAAGAAAGAAAGAAAGAAAGAAAAAGTCTCTGTGATAGATTCCTTAAAAAACTAGGATTAGAGGTTCCCCAGTGAACCCAGATATCCCCCTCCTGGATATTTTTCCAGAACTAAAACATCATACCGCAGCATGATATATGTGCACACGTGTTTATAGTAGTGTAATTTGCCATAGCTAAATCATGGAAACAATCCAAATTCCCATGAACAGAGGAATGGATAAAAAAAGATGTGGTATTTTTATACAGTGGAGTATTACTCAGCCATAAATAAGGATAAACTTAAGAATTCTATAGGTAAACTGATGCAACTTGAGACCATACTCAAATCAGTCTCATATGTGTAAACATTGTATTGTATCCCTAGTGTGAGAAGCTGAAAGAGTAAATAAGATCCAAGATATGCACTAGAGATTGTGAATTGGAAAGAAATTGTTCAAAAGAAAAACAAAACTGGATGGAGAAAGGAGGAGAAAAAGAAAGCAAAAGAGAAAAAAAAACAAATATACACATACATATTATATATAATGTATTCTACTATTATTTCTTAGTTCATTGGAAAAAAGGCTAGTGCTGTTATTATTTAGGCAATTGTTCATGCCTATATCTTTTGACTCTGAGTAATGCTTTTGAAAATAACACACAGCGTATTAACCATTGTTACTCTCTTACTACCCTGTTTTGAAATTTTATTTTTCCCTTTAAAATAAAAATTAAAAATAATGCTTTCTATACTAGTAATAGAATTCCTCTAACTGATCCTGAATCCTCAACACAATCGAGACATGAGAAAACAGAGCAACAAGATGCTTCCACAAATTCTTAAATTCCCCAAAACACTGAGAGTAATTTTAAAAAATGGCAAAAATATATGAAAGGGTAAAATAAGAAACATAAAACAGACCAACAAGACGTTCAGCTATCTCAAAAATGATATAGCAAGCAAGAATTAAGCAAAGGAGAATCGATCAATGCCTTTCAATAATAATTCTACATTGAAATGGCCTTGACTCCCCAAATAAAAGAAATTGATAGAGATTGGGTTAAAAATAAACAAAGCCCAACTACATTTGACATAAAAGAGACACAACTTATCAATAAACACATAGGCCAAAAGTCAAAGAATGGAAAATGATATATCCATTCAACCAGAGTCCCAAAGCAAGCAGAAGTACTTATCCTATTTTAAGACAAAGGGGACTTCAAGTCAAATCTGATCAAAACAGATACAAATGATCACTGCATATTATACAGCAAGTGATTCAAGAGAAAATAGCAATTGTAAGTATATGTTCACTGAATATGAGCACACTCAACTTCATAAAATAATACCACTGTACATAAAAAAAAGACAAAGATCAACACAATTATAGCAAGGAACTTCATGACTGCATTTTTGTAAGTGGGTCCACTAATCAAAAAATCAACCAAGAATTATCACAATTGAACCACATGCTAAAATAAATGGACTTAAAAGATATATAAAGCATATTCTAACAGCAACAAAATACACACTTTTCACAGCAACATATAAAATTTTCTCCAAAATAGACTGACTCTTAAGTCATAAAATATGTTAAATAAATACAAAAGAATCTGCAGCTTCATATGTATTGTTAGATCCCTGAATCAATTTCTATATGCTTTCTAAATGTCTTAATGTATAAAGCATTTGCTTTTTGTGCTCAGTGCTATGTAATGGTGACATAAGGACCCAGCAATGTTTACATCACCATCTGCATGTTACTACTAACCATGCTGCAGTTGCTACTTGCAGAAATGCATTTCTTGTCATCACACCATTGGCACCCATTTGTATTGGCTGTACAGCTAGCACAGTCTGCATATCTGTAACATCTCTCATCAGAAATGGCTGTAAGACAAATTGGGGAGATCAAACAGAAAAGAAGATATCACACATTATAACACATATTTGTATGTCTAAAATAACTAATGCATTTTAACTGAAAAATGGCCTTGAATATCAAAATAAGTTCTCCCATCTCAAAGCAACTGTATAGTTTGAGTTTATAGGTTTTTAAACTCCTACTATATCCATCTAAATTGTTCAATCTATTTGGATTCTTCAGCCATTTGAAACTTATACATTTTCAAGGAGAAAAAATATCTTACAAGTTCTTTACTAAATAAAATGTATTACACATTTAAAACAAACCATTAAAAATACTGTTTTATTACTCTTTATAAAATATTTATAGAAATATCAATATAGATTAGCAAAACTTGAAAATAATTTAGTTTTTTAATTAATAATTTAATTTAATAATTAATATGAAAAATGTTCAAAAGCCCTCACTCACTTAAAGTAAAATTAACAATATTATACAAATCATAAACAATAAAAGTAAAAGGCATTGACTGATAATTTCCCATAAGTCTTATTTAGTCAACATTTTATAAGACATATATTAAAAGAATGATAATAAAATTCTAGAAAATATCTTAATGGTATGGCTTGGAAAAATTCAGGAATAAGAACAAATAATGATGTTATTTCTTTTTAGTATACATATAAGATAGATGCATTTGTAGGGCCAGCCAGATAGGTAAGCAGACTAAAGCACCTGCTTAGGCAGAGCGCAGAGGCTAGGACTTGATCCTCACATGCCATGCCGGCCCTGCCCCCCGGGACGTGCTGATACTAAGATTGAGACTGGGTGCAGCGGCACACAACTGTAATCCCAGCACTTGGGAGGCTGAAAACAGGAGGATCACTATGAATCTGATCTGTATAGTGAGACCCTGTGTGCCCTGCAGATCCTGTACTAAATACATAAAAAAAAAGATTGATGTATATGAAGGTATTTTAACTTATATGACAAATGATTCATATATAGGCCTATTACATGTATTTCAAAAATAAAATATGAATAACCAACAAAGGTATTAAGTTATTAATCACTGTTGAATTGAAACATTAGATTTTAAATTAGAGGATTATTAATTTTCCATAGCTGTAAGGCCACTAGGGTAATTTCTAAGAGCAAAATGCATTTCTACTTCTACTGAAATAGAGAAATTTTGATGGCAAAAAGGAAAGGAGAAAGCCTTACCTGTTTTGGGAGGGCACTTTGCTCTAAGAATATTATTTGTATTCCCAGATTCCCAAGATTCACAGTGATTTTTATTCCAAACACATTTTATCCCTGGGCCAGCATTTTTACAAAGTTCTTCATCTCTGAAAGCCTTGCAATTAGGAGGCTTATATACAAGGATATCATTAAGGAGTACACTAGAAAATCCCCCAAATATATACATGGACCTATTAAAAACAAAACAATAAAATGTTTTTTGTTTTTTGTTTTTGGTACCAAGAATTAAACTCAGGGCCTCATATTTTCCAGGGAGGAGCTGCACTGCAAAACTACATCCCTGACCCAAGAAAACAAAATCCTAAAGAAACATTAAAATTTTCTATCTAACAAATTCACTTAAAAATGAAGCATTATTTTTAAAACCTTGCTTTAGAATTGTTCTTTAAAATATATTTCTAACATATGCTATCATATTAAATAGCAGATGAGCTATTATAAGATTTCCCAAAGACTTTGTAGAAGAAATCTAAACTATTCTATAAATCTTAACGTATTAAGGAAAATCAAATTTTCAAAACATCATTCTAGTAATAATTCAGAAAAGGGAATAAGAGCTATAACTCTTCTTGCTAGAAAAATAATTACTGTCTTAAATGAATAGAAAATTTTCATGAAATAAGTAATTATACATGAATAATAAGGTTTACATATGAATTCCTGTCTAGAACTGTCATTTTTAATACATAGAATTTAGAAATTAGGTACAGAGTCCTCATTCTCTTTGCTCTTAAATAAAAGGACCAAATGTAAAATAAGCAAAATAACTTTCAAAACTTAAGTGCTAGGGCCAAGGAGATAGCTCAGTGGCATAAGCACCTGGCTGGCAAGCTCAAGGTCCCAAGTTCTATCCCCCATACTGCAATATATACATTCATACATACATACATAAATTCAGTGCTGAAGTAATTGATACTAACTAGTGCCAGTAAGTTTGATACATACACATTAACAGCACAGCTTCTATTTTTAAAATATTAACACAATAAATGTAAATATGAAAAATGTTTCAAGAATAACTTGCATTGACAGATAAAACAAAAATCAACCAAACACAAGTTCAACAGAGAAACCTACTGAGTTTTTTTGACACTGCATTTCATATATGATTATTTTGAAAGTCAACTGACCAGTTACACAGTTTGATTAAGACTACTGAGTCTCCATATGGTAATAGTGGAAAATTTTTATATAATTAGGATAAGGTAATAATATACTTCCAAATTCCATATTTTAGAATAAGGAATAAAGCTGCAAATTATTTAGTGTTACTTTAATCCAAATTATCATTTTGTTACTAAAACAGAAATTATAATAATTTAAAGTGCAAAGGTAATTTTCATAGTCACCCAGCCCAACTTTGAATGGACAGAAGACTATAAAATCTAAGGAGGTTAAGAGACTTGTCAAAAATAATGCACTATTTCGTAATGATAGAACTAAAATAAGAATTTAGGGCTGGCAGGAAGAGAAGGAGAAGAAGTGGGAGAGGGAGTGAGGGACAGGGAGAAGAGAGGAAAAGAGAAGAGAAAAGAGAGGTGAAGAGAGAAGAGAGAAGAGCAAGTGAGAGAGAGGAGAAGACAGGAGAAGCAAAGAGAAGAGAAGAGAGCATGACTGAGAGAGAAGAAAAAAGCAAGAAGGAGAGAGGGGAGAAGAGAGAAGAAAGGAGAAGACAGGAGAAGAGAAGAGAGAGCAAGAAAGAGAGGGGAAGAGAAAAGAGGAGAAGAGAGCATGAGCAAGAGAGGAGAAAAAAGAGCAAGAGGGAGAAAGAAGAAGAAAAAAGAGGGAAGAAGAGAGAAGAATGAAGAGAGAAGAGAGGAGAAGAGTGAGTGAGAGAGAGGAAAAGAGAGGAGAAGACAGGAGAAGAGATAGTGAGAGCAAGAGCGAGAGAAAGAGAAAAGAGAAGAGAGAAGAGTGAGCAAGAGAGAGAAAAGAGAGAAGACAGAAGAGAGAGAGCAAGAGAGAGAAAGAGAAGAGCAAGAGAGAAGAGAGTGAGAGAAAGGAGAAAATAGAAGAGAGAAGAAAAGAGAGAAGAGACAGCGAGCAAGAGAGAGAGGGAGAACAGAGGAAAACAGCGAGAGAAGAGAAGAGAGCAAGAGAGAGAGGGGAGAAGAGAAAAGAAAAGAAAGAAGAGAGAAGAGGATTAGAGCAAGCGAGAAAGAAGAGAAAAGACAAGAGAAGAGAGAGAGGAGAGAGGAGAGGGAAAGACAGAAGAGAGAGGCGGAGAAGAGCAAGCGAGAGAGAAGACATGAGAAGAGAAGAGCAAGAGAGAGAGAGAGAAGAGAGAAGAGAGGGAAAAACAGAATAGAGAAGAGCAAGCAAGAGAGAACAGAAAGAGAAGAGAGAAGACAGGAGAAGAGAAGAGCAAGAGAAAGAGAGAAGAGAGGGAAAGACAGAAGAGAAGAAAAGAGTGAGAGAAGAGAAGAGAGACGAGGGAAGAGAGAAGAGCAAGAGAGAAAAGAAGAGGAGAAGAGGAGAGGAGAGGAGAGGAGAGGTGAGGAGAGGAGAGATAATAAAGGAGGAGAAGAGAGTGAGAGAGAGAGACAGATGTGCAAGCAAGAGAGAGAGAGAGAGAAGGGAGAAGAGAGGAAAAGAGAGAAGACAGAAGAGAGAAGAGCGAGCAAGAGAAAGAAGAGAGAAGAGATAATGAGCAAGAGAGAGAAGAGAGAGGAGAGAGGAGAAGAGAGGAGAGTGAGCAAGAGAGAGAGGAGAAGAGAGAAGAGGAGGGGAGAGAGAGAGAGACAGAGAGAGAGAGACAGAGAGAGAGAGAGACAGAGAGAGACAGAGACAGAGAGAGCGAGAGCGCTTTATAGGTACAATCATTTTTTTTTCTGGTCTCTGAAAAAAAGAAGTCACAATTACTTGAAGAAAAAAGTTCCATAACTACTTCCTACCCTTAAATATATTTAAAACAAAAAAGAACCAAAGCTATAGCTTAAAAACTAAAATGTGTTCTGTAGCACAGTAGAGATACATAAAACCCAGTAGCATTAAGTACCAAAGATGACTGTCAAAAGTATATCAAACTCAGTAACTACATGAAGGAATGATATCCTTGACCTTATAAAAATTTCAAATGTGCATTTTTTACCCATTAATGACTACTGCAGAATGTCCAAATCTGTTCACATCTCTATGAAGATTTGGTTTTGGTAATGTTTTCCATTCATCACAAGCTAGAAAAAAAGGAAAGAAACAAAAAATGACATAAAAACATATTAAAACAATATAAAATAATAATCAGCCAAATCATAGATATAATACTTAAAATCAGGAAGAAAACCAAAGGAAATGCCTTTATTGACTTTCTATGAGCTACAATTTAGAATCATTATGCAACTAACATTGTTTCTTAAATAAAAATTCCTGGCCTCAATTTTTCACAAGTAATTTGAAGCATATGTTAATAGAGAAAAAAAAGAATGAGATTAAATGTATTTTATATTGAAAGATATTTGAGCAGCATAGCTTTGTTAAGCATGCTGAAGTTGATATAGTAAAGTTCAAGAATGTCAATATGAAAGTTAAATATTACATCAAACATTGTATATATGCATATAAAAGTAAATAATATATTTGCTATTTACTAAAAGAACGCCTGAAGAGTCAGAATAAAATATTTAAATTATTTTAATATTTGAAGTTTTAAAATAATAGCTTTTATTTTTATGTAGAAGAGAATCATTTCAATAGCAAAAACCTAGATAAATGAAAAACAAATCATCTGCTATATAAGAGCTATGGAAATACAGGTGAGGATAATATTTGTTTCAATAGAAACTAAGGTTGACATATATACTAACAGGCATTGTAATTTCAAATAATTCAGTATCCAATGCTTAAGAACATTCTCAGAATATTGCTTTAGGTTTCATCTCTTTAGGTAACATTTAAAGGTAGGCTTTGCTATCCCTAAAAGCACATAACCATAGCAAGCTTTTAAAGCAATTTTATAGAAAGTATAAAACTCCTCGTGGAACAAAAATAAAATCTAAAATATACTCAGTTGTAAAAGTAACCTGTTTTTCTACTGAAATAATGTCTGTATCACAAGCAGTAAAATGGTTTTAATTCAATATTCTTACTAATGAAGACCAAATTACAAAAACCAAAATCATAGTTTAGCAAATTAAAGTGTAAAACTGAGAACAATAAAGCAAATCTTGAGCTGTATTCCCACAGTATGTTCCAAGGTGCACAAATCCCTCCAAAAATAGTATTTCATCTGTATAATCTCTCTCCCTCTCCCCACTCTTTTTTAATCATTTCTCCTTCTGTCTTTCTGGATCACAACATATATTGTCCTATTACTCTTAAAGGAAAAAGTAGAAGAGTACAGAAATCTAACTTATCTGTATTTAAACCAGTACTTACTCAATGATTTGTTCACAAAAGCATTGTTCATGTATCACTTATTAATATTCCAAAGAGCCAATGCTCTAAAGATCATATTTCAAGAAATACTATAATAAAGGTCTTGGCATGAAAATAGTCTGCTTATTTTACCTGTCAGTTAATTTATGAAATGTACATTATATGTATGTACTAATACAAAACCTTCAAAGTGCTTTTATGTACAATATATAACATGGTTTTTATAAGAATTCAGTGAAGTTGACTGAGAAGGTACTATCCTATTTTAGAAATCAAGAATGAAACCTATTGGAAATTACAAAATTTGCATAAAGTCCACTTGACTACATTTGTTTTTCCATAACTTATGTTTATGTGTATTTGATGTAATAAAAATCATTCCTCCTTTTATAAGGGGTGATCCAAGTAAATTATGGGGCCACAGAGAAAAGTGATTGATGATGTAGAGTGCCTAAGGAGAGTCACATGAAGAGAAAACATTCTCTCAGGCTTTCACAGCAAGCAAACTGGTCAAGCAATGGCCATGACTCATCCACATGGCTGACACTGACAAAGGATCTACAATCTGAGGTACAGGGTTTCAGAGTAAATCCTGAGGGGATTTGACTAACCTTGTCAAATACAAAAGCTACATTTCTTGGTATATAGGGCTTGCTTTATCTTGGTATTCTTCAAATTTATATACTTCAATCTCAGAAATATTTTTTAAAGTACTCACTTATAATGTACTCTCAATCTAAAATTTTAAATTATTTAATTTTATAACTCCTAGGACCATCCAAAGAGCGAGGTAGATTAAAGCACCTGCTTATGCAGATGCAGGGGCTGGAGTTTCTATCCCTGGCCTGCTGTGCTGGCCCCCTCCCCGGGGCTTGTGCTGAGACAGGGATTGAGACTGGGCATGGTGGCACATGCCTGTAATCCTAGCACTTGGGAGGCTATAAACAGGAGAATCACTATGAGTCCGATGCACCTATTGAGACCCTGTATACTGTGTGTACCCTGTATTAAATTTTAAAAATAAAAATAAAAATTCAAAATTTTATAACTCCTATTACTAAGGAATCAAGTTTTCTGAAATAATTGTGTAAAATTCTTATTTTCAATCCTACTTTCCAACTCTCTATTGCTAATAATAATTTCTTGGACATTATCTTTAAATCATTTATTTGTTATTCTAATTATAATTTCTAAGACCAAATTTTTTCTTGTGACCTATTTTTATTAAAATCTCACATTTTTGCAGCATGAATGTAACATTTCCTACCTGTGAAGTCATGCTATAATCTCTTTCTGCATTATCTCTGATTTCTCATTTCTTTTCCCTACATGACGTTTTGGTCAAATTTAGTGGCTTTTCAAATTTCTAACTGATAACTGGTATTTTTCAAATTTAAGAGTGAAGCCATACCAAAATAAAAGCTCTACAAAAAGTGCTAGGAAAGGCAAGTTGCGATTCTCAACAGATAGACCATTTCAGCACTCATAAGTGCTTTCTTAGTCTAGTCTGCTTCCTGAAGGTAAATTCTCCATCTCCTGCAGGAACACTGTAAATACATCTAGTAGCAATCTAGGGCCCAAGCAAATAAAGAAAGCCAGAGGTTTCATTAAATTTGAATATTTTAATTTAATCTCTCTGTTTAAAAGTAATATTTATATGCTCGGTCCCACTCTAATAACATTAAGTATAAAGTACTCTGTTATAAAGAGTAAACCTTTATTTACCAGTACAGCAAAGGCAGGGCAGATATTCAGTTGCACAATATAGGGAAAGGATCTGTGAATTTGAAATCTAACTATGGATTTTTAATCAAAATTTCTCTCTTCAAGCTCACACATATCCCAATTTTATAAGTATTCAACTCCAGTTACCAAAAGTCTATAGACTTTTACAATACAAATGTTATTATCTCTGTGGAATGTAGGAGTAAAAGTAAACATTAATGTTCAACCTGCTATGTTTAGTATTTCTTTCTCTTTTTTTTTTCAGACCCGGGGATTGAATTCAGGCCCTTGTGCTTGCCAGGTAAGCACTTATTCTACTGAGCTATCTTTCTGCCCCCTAACCTACTATATTTAACTGAAAATGTCTCCCTAACTTTAATTTCAAACTGATTTGCACTCTCAGTTAATATGATGAGAAGAAAAGTTAAAGTTTTGAGGCTTATAGCAAAAAGAGTAAGATGAGAATAACACGAGGAAAAGAAATCAAGACAAGAGCTGGTGTCAAAATTACACTGCTAGTAGAAATATAAAATGGCATAGCCACTGTGAAAAGTTTGCTGATTCCTCATAACAATAAACAGAATTATCACTTGACCTATAAATTCTACTTATGTATATATTCTCAAAACAACTGAACACAAGCATGTGCATATTTCATAATATTCAAACAGTGACTATAAACAGATAAATGAATACATAAGTTCCAGCAAATAAAGTAGAATATTATTCAGCCCTACAAAGGAATATAGTACTGATCCAAAATATATTCTTGATGAATCTTGAAAATATACTAAGTGAAAAAAGCCAAACAAATTTTATGATTCCAAATATACACAGAATTCATAAATTTATAGAGATAAAAATCAGAATTATAGTTGATAGGTATAAATAAATGAATAAAGAGTCAGAGGGAACATCTGCTTCATGTATGTAAAGTTCTTTTTTGCATGATAAGAATGTTTCTGAATTAGAGAGCAGTGAATATGTAACAATATGAATATACCACATGCTGGTGAAGTAGTTATTTTAAAGTAGTTCATTTTTGTGTTATGTGAAGTTTACCTCAGTTTTGAAAAGAGAAGCTACTTGAAATAAACCTTGAATTGAAATGCTTGTCCAAGACTATGACATAATGGAATTTAACAGGTCATTGATGTACTCAGTAAACCACACAGTGAACATAAATGAACAAAGTCCAAAACTCAAAAAGTACTTGGCTTCAAAGATTTTCTTTATTTTAGTGAGTTTTTTTCCTATTAAGGTCACATTTACTTGCACATTTAAACTAACCATGCTGAATACCAGGGAATTACCTTAAAATGTTCTCCAAGTCATATTTTTCCATACATTTATACTAAAAATAGGACCAGGAAAAAAGATGAATTACAATAAGTGGTTTGGTCTAAAGCAAACTGAAATTAATCAACTGTTCTTAACTAAAAATGGAAGGAAATATATAAAATTTAGGTTAATAGATTTAGGTAAGATGTAAGAAAAAGAATCATCACTATTTAAGAAATTCAACTTGGATGTAATTAATATTCAATGAAACAATAACATCATGGATAGAAAGTTGAGTAATACTGAGTTTCAGTCCTAAAGGATTTACAATATAATGTGATATGTATTACGAGATACATAGAATGCTATGGAAGCCCAGAAAGGAAAAGCACCTGGCTACTTCTAACAGTTAAAAAAATTCCTAAATTACTATAATAATATATCATGAAGAATTAAAAAAATTTTCACAGTCTTTTTGGATGGGTAATTTTTCCAATATAAGTGGTTCACTCCTTTAATGAAAACAATACTAACTGCATATCAATGTTTTGTAATATTCAATTTTCAAAACAACCCCGAACAGTAAATATTCTTGCTATCTTGCTATAGACAAAAGAAACATCTTGAGAGGTTAAGTAGCCTTCTCAAAGTCAAAAACTGGCAAAGTCTTTTAAACCAGCTGACCTTAACTACTATGGTATACTGTCTGACCACACTATCAAAAATTTTTCTAAATAAACATTTCCTTCATGAAAATTAAAATAGTAAAAAATTTTTTTAAACTGCATGAGCCACT